GGCGATGGGACTTACCCCTTCCACTTGAATTATGCTGCCTCCCAGGCTCAGTCCCCCCACCTGCAGAGCTACCGATGCCGGGAGTTGATCCAAGGGGATGGTATCTGCTCCGGGTCCCTGGGACAGCGGCTGCTACTCCTGGCCATAAAATCCCACCCAGCTGCCACTGCCAGACGGGCCACCGCCCGCCGCACATGGGCCCAGCCCAGGCTGCTCAGGGACTACAGGGTGCAACATGTCTTCCTCATAGGAGTGTCCCCCAATCCCCGGCACATGGCCCTGCTGGGGCAGGAGAGTGAGGAGTTTGGGGACGTGGTGCTGTGGGATTTCACTGAGAGCCACCACAACCTGTCGCTCAAGGAGCGCTGCTTCCTGCACTGGATGGGCGAGCACTGCGGGCAGGCCGACTTCATCTTCAAAGGTGAGTCTGGACTCCTGAGTTCTCACCCCAGTGCCAGAAGCAGAGTGGGGGCTGATGGGCTAGAGGAAGGGGGCTGGGAGCCAGGATTCCTGGGTTCCCTCTCTAGCTCTGGGAAGTCCATTCAGCCCCCAGTTGCTCCACACTCTTCAGCATCCCTTTCCTTCTCCAGGAGATGATGATGAGTTTGTGAACCCGCCTGTCCTGGTGACCTACCTGCACCAGACATCCAACGCCTCCCCCCTCATCCATGGTAACATTCAGCGTCATTCAGTCGTGATGAGGGGGGGGAAATATGGCATCTCCTCTGTGCTGTTCCCCCAGAAAAAATACCCCCACTTTCCCTCTGGGGGCGGATTCCTCATGCCCAGGGGCAGCATCCCAGCCCTGGCAACGGCCTCTGAGCGCATCCCCGTCTTCCCGCTGGACGACGTCTACTTTGGTTTCCTGGCGCTGGCCGCTGGGCTGCAGTTCCAGCACGACGAGCGCTTCCAAGTCTTCGGCATGAAGGTTGAGCTGTGTCTGTACAGGGAAGCCATGGTGGTGCATGGCATGTCACTGGACCGGGTGGAGGTGGTGTGGAGGGGGCTATATGTGGAGCATCGGTGCAACATGTCGTGGCCTGTCCTCTCTTAGTGAGTGTTGGCTCCCACCCAGCCCGTGAGCAGACCAGGGGACCGTTCCTCCCTCCTCAAGGAGGCCTCACCTCCCATATACTCACAGGGCGGGGATGGCCTGGCTTGGGGGAATGGGGCACAGGGACATTGTTCAAACTGAATTAAATTTGATTTTTTCTTGACTCCTCCTGACTGGTTACAGCTAGGATTCTGAGTTTAGGGAGGCATAGGGTTTTTTGTGCAAAACAGCCATGACCACACTGCTTGTTCTTGCGCTCAGCGCTTCATTTGCATTGCCTCTTCCGGTAAAAGCCATAGGTACACAGACAAAGCCTCTGGTTCCTAGTGATGGCTGTTTAGAAGCATCAGTCACCCCCCAGAGTCGTCAGGAAATCTGAGAGAGATAAATACCCCCCCACACACACTACAGAACGAAGCTACCTCCCCACTTCCTGCTCAGGCCCCTGTTGCTAAGTAATGCAGGATGGCCAGCTGAGGTTTATATCCATGGATTTATTGAAATCAAGTTGGGACCGACAAAATGAAATGTACAAAAGGAAAATGTATGGGGGTGGGGCGGTAAAGTCGGCAGCAGACATTTGTATAAAAAAAACAGGGGAGGGGCAGTCTGTGGGGAATGAGGCGGAGCTTAAAACAAGGGGCAGTGCCATCTCAGAAGAAATCCACATCCTCAGGGGCATCGAGGTCTCTGTACTCGACGATAGCGCGGGGGTCACCCCGAACCATCCTGGGGGAGAGATGGAGCAGGTGAGAGCCATGGGCCAGTCCAGTTCCACATGCACTCCCGTCACCCCTCGATGGGTTCAACCTTCCCCACCTACCTGTTCCGTGGTTTGTTCAGGTAGCCGCCCTGCCCCCGGAAACTGTCATAGTTACCTCGGCCAGCGGCATAGGGGGCATGAGGGTAGGGGGGACCTCCTGCAGGAGAGACACAGGGACACGTCAGCAGAGTCCAACACCGCATAGTCTCATCATCCAGGGACCTCTTGCCCAGTGTCAAGATGCAGCCATCTTTGGGGCAGGGCGGCTGGTTACACAGGGACCCCTCAGCCGGTGCTGAGATGCAGCCACCTCTGGTGCTGGGACCCTTTGCCCAACACTCAATCCTCATCTAGCTCCCAGCAGCACAGCACACTCTAGTGCAGTGGTTCTCAAACTTTTTGGCCTGTGGACCACCTGGCCCAATGTAAACCTTTCCACAGACCACCAGATACTAATGGAAACTCACCATTAATTACACCTAAGCCATTTTGCTAGTGCTGCAGCTAGGGAGAACTGCTTAATTTAAATTATTAAACAGAATTAAGTGTTTTAACTCTCTCGTGCTACTTTATCAAACTTCATTTGAAATAAAGTATCAATGTATGTCCAACACAAAAGGTTCCCATGTTTTCTTTATTTATTGCAGGTGTGAGGAACATTTTTGTTGGGGGCCATTGACCCACAGAAAAATCAGTTGGGGGCCACACAAATGACAAGCAAAAAATTCTCCTTTAAAAACCCGCAACCCTCAGTGATGTGGCCCCCCACTGATACATCTCACTCCTTTAGCGCTCCAATCCCACGAGGTGAGAGGAAGGGACAGGAAAGACCGAGGTTCAGGCCTTCCCATAGGCCAGATTTACTTTTCTGGGGTTCTGGAGTTAGTGGATTTTATGGACCTCCTTAGGTTCTGGGGTGGGGAAAAATGAGGGGTTCCGTGTGTGTGAGAGGGCTCCTAGTGAGTGGAATAGGGATGGGGTGAGGAAGCAGGATTTGGGAGGGAGGTAGCGTACAGAATAAGGCTGGAATTAGGGTGTCTGGCCGGGGGAGGGAGCAGAAGCAAGGGAGGGTGGCCAGGAGGAAGGATGCAAGGAGCAACAGGGAAGCAGGAGCAGGTCTGGCCAGGAGGGAGGGTGCAGGAACAAACTGGGAGTAGGGTGTCTGGCCGGGGGCAAGGAATGCCTAGCGATAAAGCTGGGGGGGAGGGACAGAGTGGCTGCGGGGGTTCAGGGAGATGGGGGGCAGGGTGCCTCTGGGAATAGGAATGGGGTCAGGGTGTCTCGAGGGGAGGGGGATGTTCAGGGAAATGGGGGGGAGGGGAGGATGAATGCAGTGCACCAAGGCAGGGGTGGGCAAGTGGGTGACCCTGAGGTGTCCAGTCCTGCTGAGGGTGGTGTCCCGTAGGGTCTGGTCCATGGCACCCTTGGGGGGGCAGGCACTGAGATGGCTTGGCCCCTCTCCCCAGATGAGTCCCTGTGGGTGCAAAGCCTGAAGGGCTCTGAGCTCCCACCTGCATCCTGTGGGGTTCTCAGCCCCAGCGCCGCCGCCTAGCCCTGCGCAATCCAACCTGCAGCCTGTCCCACAGGTGCAACTGAGGGATGCGCTGCTCTTACCATGGTGACCACGAGCTCAGGAGGGCCTAGGCGAGGTGGACACCCAGTGGTGGGTGGGACTCTCATATGGAGGGGGCCGGGGCAGTGCCCCTCCACGTGTAACTCTGTGGCCCGCGGAGTGTGTGGACACATGAGAGTTTGCTTTCGTCACCTCCCTGCCTGCCTGCCAGAGCTGCTGCTGCAGCCTCTCGGCTGGCTCCAGTGCTGGCTCCCTGCTGAGGAGGGGAGGGAGGCTGAGCTCCCACCGTGGTCTACCCGGGCACTTTGAGAACCACTGCTCTAGTGCCATATGAGGAGCCAGCAATGACTGTGAGGTTAGAATGCCCCCCAGTGAGTCTCCCTCAACGTACCACCATATCCCATCATGGGTGGGCGGGGCTGTCCATAGGGCATTAGGCCCTGGGGCGTCTGGTGAGGATACGGCAGCCCAGGGGTAAGACCTAGAAGGAGAACAAAGAAACTGAAGATGCGCGAGACTCTGCCACCCAGACCCTTCCCAGAGCTGGAGGGAAAATTCAGGAGTCCTGGCTCCCAGCTGCTGTCACTCACTAGTTCCCCCAGTGGTCGGAGAGGGGAGCAGCAGATCCCTCTCCACATAAAGGCTGTGAGTCCCCCTGCAAGACTCAGGAGAACACACAGCCCCCAAGATATGACACTCCCCCCGCCCCTCCCCACCATCTCTCGGGGGCACTACGTACCCTGCCCTGGTACAGGGGGCTGGTTGGCTTTGAGCTCGGGTAATGCTGGGCGCTTGGCGTCCATCAGGAAGCTGTTGAAGAAGGACACCTCCTTCTTCACCTCCTCGATCTTCTCCGCATGCTTGTTGAATATGTGCTTGCGTACAAACTCAGGACCCTGCCGGGTGTTGGGGGTGTCAATCAGGGCATATCCTCCCCTGCCCTCTTCCTCCCTCTCTCCCCTGGCCAAGAGCTGCCTCCGCCAGCCCCCTGCTTGGACCCCCCTTCTTTCCCAGGCTGAAAGCTGCCCCCACTAGCTCCCCTGCCTGGACCCCCTCTTTCCTCCTGGACAAGAGCCTGCCCCCTCCAGCCCCCTGCTCAGATCCCCCCTCCCTCCTCTGGCTGAGAGCTGCCCCCACCAGCTCCCCTTCCTCGATGCCCCCTCCCTGCCCTGGCCGAGAGCTGCCCTCCTCCCGCACAGATCTTCCCCCACACCTTGAATTTCTTGCCACTGAGTGGGCAGAGCCACTTGTCCTTGCCCAGCTCTTGGGTGTTGGCCGTAACAAACTTCTCCACCTCCTGCTCTGGGTCCTTCTTGCCCATCTTCTGGGCCTCCTCCTCTGACAGCGACTCCCGCACAGTGGACAGTGGAGACAGCTTCTCCTCGAAAGTCTTCTGCCATTCGGCCACTGCCGGGAGAACCCAGGAGTCGTGGCTCCCAGCCCCCTGCTCCCTGCCCCAACCCACCAGCCCCCACTCCCCTCCCAGAGCCGGAGCGAGAACCCAGGGGTCCTGGCTCCCAGCCCCCTGCCCCAACCCACCAGCCCCCACTCCCCTCCCAGAGCCGGAGCGAGAACCCAGGGGTCCTGGCTCCCAGCCCCCTGCCCCAACCCACCAGCCCCCACTCCCCTCCCAGAGCCGGAGCGAGAACCCAGGGGTCCTGGCTCCCAGCCCCCTGCCCCAACCCACCAGCCCCCACTCCCCTCCCAGAGCCGGAGCGAGAACCCAGGGGTCCTGGCTCCCAGCCCCCTGCCCCAACCCACCAGCCCCCACTCCCCTCCCAGAGCCGGAGCGAGAACCCAGGGGTCCTGGCTCCCAGCCCCCTGCCCCAACCCACCAGCCCCCACTCCCCTCCCAGAGCCGGAGCGAGAACCCAGGGGTCCTGGCTCCCAGCCCCCTGCTCCAACCCACCAGCCCCCACTCCCCTCCCAGAGCCGGAGCGAGAACCCTGGGGTCCTGGCTCCCAGCTTCCCCCCTTCTCCCCTCTGTGCTCCACCGCCAGCTCCCATGGATGGAGGCAGGCGCCCAGCAGTACCTTCCCCATGGCTGACGCGGTTGGGTGGCATAGGCCCACGCACGTGGATGATGCCGCAGCGATTGGGCATCTCGTCCTCATTGAGATACTCCGAGGTGTTGTAATAATCCACGGAGTGCACAATGCGCAGGTAGAGCAGCAGCTTGTCCAGCACCTGGAGCACAGGGGGAAGGAGGTTGATGGTGGGATGTCAGGTCCAGATGAAAGGCCTGTGCCAGCCAGCCAATTCCCACTCTAAGGCCGGGTGGGAGCCGGCGCCCCCTAGAGGGGACAGGCCCCCTCTGCCCCACCTTGATGAGCTTTTCGTCTCTCTCCACGTTGATCTCAGCTGGGTTCCCCTCCTTGGGGGGCTCGTCCGTGGCCTCCCCACTCTTCCCCAGCAGCTCTTCCTCCTCTGCGCTCACCTCCTCAATCAAGTAGTCCGTGATGTTCTTCAGGATGGGGTTCTGTGAGGGCAGGCTCTGGAGGGCAAGGCATGGCACAGATGAGTGGCAGGGCAGAGTGGGGAGCCCCCACGGGAGAGTGACAAGGGGCCAACCCAAAAGCCTTTGCACTGTCTGGGAAGAGGGTGGGTGGGAGAAGTGAAATGGGCCCCAAATCCTCTGAGTTAGAAGCAGGGTCACAGTGGGTCGTCCCAGTCACCAAGGGATGCCAAGGGGTGGGGGTGAGGGTGGGGGCCGCCCCTGCCGTGTACTGACCGAGAGCTGGGTGCCCTCGCAGGGCTCGCCTGCACCCCACAGCTGAGTGCGGTCATCCAGGGTGTGGATCAGCTTGGCTGCTAGCTTGATGTCATTGCGCACAATCTGCTTGTGCTGTGTGATGCCGTTCACATTGCGCACACGACGTGTCAGGTCCCGGTTCACGCCTGGGCTCAGCTCACACTCCCGTAGCTGGCGGGGGAGAGTGGAGACACAGTGACCAGCCAGTTACATAGGGTCCCTTCTCCTGGCACGGAGATGCAGCCACCTCTGGGGTGGGGCGGCTGGTCACACAGGGACTCCTCGCCCGGCGCTGAGATGCATGGGGACCCATTGATTGGACACTGGGATGCACGCCCCTATTCTTGGTGGGAAGCAGTGGCAGAGCCTGGGGCATGCCCCCCTGCCACGGGGGCGCTGCCTTACCCGGATGTTCTGCAAGCTCCAGCAAATCTCCTTGATGTTCACACTGCGGTTGAAGGTGACCCAGCCCCTGCGGAAAAACCTGAGACAGACGCCCAGAGTTAGTGCCTGGAGGCACAGCTCCCCCGCACCCTCCCGCCCACCACCGCCTACCTCCGTTCAGGCTGAGGGTCGGACAGCGCCACTCGCATGAAGCCCGGGTAGCGTTTGCAGAGCTGGGGCAGAGAGAGATCAGGGAGAGCATTAGGAAAGGGGCTGGATCTATTCTCCCTCCCCCACCCGGATATGAGCACCCCAGCTCACCGCCACAATCTCAGCCTGGGAGATGTTGGGCGCGATGTTACGCATGAAGAGGGAGCATGTCTTGTGCAGTGGACGAGGTTTGCATTCCCCCCCATCCTTCTCCTTGGTCTTCGCCACCACTGCCGCCTCCTCCTCCTCGGCCTTCTTCTCTTCCTTGGGTTTCTCCTCTGCACCCCCTGCAAGACCTGGCACATCAGAGTCGGGGGAGGGAAAGGGGGCTGGCCTTGTGCCCCATTCCACACACCCCTAAGCCAACCAGTCCCCTCCCTAGGGCCGGTGTCCCCTAGATGGGACAAGCCCCTGCTCCATTCCCTGTCCTTCCCAAGCCAGCCAGGGCCTGCCCTGGGGCCAGGCGGGAGCCGGCATCCTTAGAGGGAATAGAGCCCCCCACGACTCTCACCCTCCTTGTCGTCGTCCTCGGCGTGGCCGCTTTCTGACTCTGTCTCTGACTCGGAGACACTGCCCTCGTCATAGCTGTCATCCCCACTGCGCTTCCGCTTCCGCTTCTTGCTAGCCTGAGAGGAGAAGGGGGTGCGTGGTGAATGGTGCAGCCAGGGAGCAGAGCCAGCAAGGCTGACACAGGACAAGCAGGAACCAGCATGATAGGAGGGGAGCCATCAGGAGCTCAGGAGCAGGGCAGAGGATAAATGGGCTGGGCCAATTCAGAGTGGGAAGAGCAAAGGGGGGTGGAGCTCCAGGACTCACCTTTTTGGCCTCTTTCTCTGGTTCTTCCTCCTTCTCCGGCTTCTCTTCTTCCTCCGCAGAGGATTTCTTGGCTTTATCCTCAACTGGCTCGTCACCATCAGCCTGGGAAAACAGATAGAACCCATCAGGGTTCCCTGACAAGTCCCCTGACAAGTCTGCCTCCACCGTGACAGGATAAGGAATCTCTACTCAGCTCCTGGGGCCGGCACCCACCACCCTCAAATCTGGGCGAGCAGGCCCAGTGGGGAAACCGAGGCACAGCTACATGGCACCTGAGGCTGAGCCAGGATTGAATCTTGTTAGTCAGCTCCCCTGACCTTTTTGCCTTCCTCCTTCTTGTCGTCTTTGTCTGAGCCCTTCCGGTCCACGTCGGGCAGGCGGTTGTCCTCCTTTTTCCCTGGCTCAGCCTTATCCTGCCTCTCCTCCTCTTCTTCCTGGTCCAGAATTTTGAGGTCATTCTCTGTGCCACCCTCCATCTTGATCACCGCTGGTGGGAGGGAAAAAAAATCGGCATGGGTAAGTTGTGCAATAATCTGTGATTATAGGTGTGACCTGGAGAAGACGCCCGCCCTCCATACCCCAGGTGGGCCCTCACGCAAGAGGATAAGATAAAGGAAACAGCAGATAGAAGAGCTACTACAGTTCCTGCAGGGGAGAATCTCTCTTGAACTCCAGCAGCCGAGATGCCAGTATTTGGACTCCAGGAGCTTGGGCATTTCCAGTCCTTCAGCTCCCCAGACACACAGGGTCTTTGGACCTGAACATGGGATCTTTGGCACCAAAGCCTGCCCGTTTCAGCCCCCCCATCCCTCAAATTTTCCCTACCAGCATCAAGCATCTTGATGATAGCATTGGCCTTGTCGATATCCAACTGCAAGTTCTCGAACCAGCCATTGTCCATGAGGTAGAGAAAGACACTGAGCCGGTTCTGCAGGGCACTGTGGGCTTCCTGTTTTCTCTTCCCCGCTTCATCCGGGTGGTACTTGGAGCGGAACCTTCGAGCCGGGAGGAAGGGAAAAGGCAGACAAGGCAAGGTCAGAACAGGGTCTAGAGTGCGTGGGGAGGAAGCCACTTAACCCAAGCCTCTAAAGGAGCTGCACATGCAGGTTGCATTGGACAGGGGGAGGCATTGTAAAAAGACCGGGGGGGGGCAGAAAATGGGGGAAAGCAGGGATGAGCCCCCCACCCCGGATCTTATTTATCGACGATTCGAGGCAGATGTTGGTGAAGAAAAAAAAATGATTTTCCCACATCATGGGGGTTTTTTTAAGCTATGCTCGTTTGCTATGGGCCACCACCTAAGCCCAGGGTGCAGGGAAGGGGGATCGGTCTGACACTGTTAGCAAAGTGCTGGGCAGAGGATGTTAAAATTGGCTGCTCAGACCCTCACTCATGCTGCAAGAGTTAAGTGAGCTGAGCATGGATTGAGGGTCAGGACATCTGTGGCTTGGGGAGCAGGGTCTAAGGAGCTAGAGCTGGGAGCCAGGACTCCTGGGTTCTTCCCAGCACTGCTGCATGGCCCTAGGGCATGTCATTCTCCCTCCCTATGTCAATTCAGCCAGACCCCAACAGGCCCCCGTCGGTCTTAGGTCAACGGGACCAGATCCCAGCTGGGTTCCATTGGCTGTCACCCCACCAGGGTGAATGAGGCCAGATCCCGTCCATCACTTCAAAGGGCAGAATGGGGCCAGATGACCTCTGGAAGCCTGGAACCCAGCACACCAAGGTCCCTTAGCGCCACTTCTAATCTCATACCAATTGCTTCCTCCAGGTGCCACCAAGCCTTTGGCTAGTTAGAGGTCTTTGGGCAGGGAATCCAGGTAACACCCAGCTAGGACGTAGCTCTCCCCACCAGTAGATCTCAACTGACTCGATTCAGCGTCTGGTCCAAACAGGAGCTGAGATCTCAGTCACAGGGGGTGCTCTAAGGGCACCCATAGTACCAGTTTTAACACTATGTCAGTGCCTGACTCTCCTGGCTCTCCACGGGACTAAACTTCTTGCTAGAAACCAAGATTTTGGGCCAGAATTTAAGTGTCCACTTGTTTCAGATCATCTGGGAAGTGGATTTTAAAAAGAACCCCGTGGCTGACAGGCAGGGCCATCAAACCCCCATTTTTATCTCGCAGGAGGGGGGACGGTAGATGTGATTATTTAATCGTACTGTATTTTTTTACATTTTTTTTTAAAGAGTTGAGCTCCGATGGAATAAGACAGAACACGTGTCATACATACACTGAGGATCAACTCCAGCTTGCCGACGGGAGCCTGAGAAATTCCTTCGGTGGTTTTAACCACGGGCGCTTTATTTTGGCTATGGCGCACGGACACATGCGCGCACTCCCTCTCTCTCGCCGAACGGTTTATGGAACCAAAAACAAAAAAATAAATCCCGAGTTGGTTGCTTTGGTTGGTTTGTTTGTGGCTAGCTGTCTGATTCCTGACCACTGTACATTCAGCTACGCACTGCATTGTGCTCAGTGCACCAGCCCTGGCTATCTAGCTAAAAAAATGCGCAGGCAAGAGAGAGGAGCAGAAAAACAAAAACAAAAAAAATCAAGAGATTTAGATTCTCCAAGCTGACGGCAAAAGTGACTTCTGATTTTGAATTCTCTTGATTCTGGCACTTGGGAGGAGGGGAAAAAAGGTCAATTAACAGTTATCATCCACACACACCAAAAATAAATAAATAAAATAAAATAAAATTAAGAGACGGTGGTTAAAACTAAGAAAAACCTGTTAAATAGCACCCAAGAACCACACACACAGCACCCAAGAAGCACACGCAGAAGTCACTGCAACGCTCCTAATTCACTGCAGGAGGGACTGGTACCCTCATATGGTGACAAGGTAAAATGAGGCATGGTGGATTATGCCCTTGGTCTGGAGGCAGCATGATGGGTTGGGGTGGGGAGTACAGCTGAAAGCCAGGACTCCTGGGTTCTCTCCCTGACAGGTCTCCCTACCCTGCAGGCTGGATGAATGTAGCTAGTGTCAAGAAATCAGGTTGGCTAGGTTCTATACCCAACTCAGATTCGTGATCTTGGGCAAATCATGTCTCTTTGTGCCTCAGTTTCCCTTCCTGCCCTGTTCTCTGTCTCGACTGGAAACCTTGGGACAGAGACTGTTGCTTGCTGGTGCTTTGTACAAAGAAGCCTCAATCTCAGCAAGGCACCCTGCATGGTACCCTTCCTCCACCCCTGCTCTGGGATTTTAGCCACTACTGGAACACATCTCATAAACCATGCTTGTTTTACAGATGGGGAAACCGAGGCATGGAAGCTGCCTGTCAGACTCAAGTGGACTGGCTCTTACCCCCCGTTCTCCCACTGCTTTCCTGATCCAATTGGGACCCCAGCTAGCAAGCCAGCAACTTCAGCATCTGCTCGGGCATGTGGCAAATGTGCTGAGCCAGAGGAGTAACAGCTAGTGCCATGGCTAGGATTCATGGAGAATAACTCCCTAGTGTTTCTCAACATCCAGTGTCAGGGAGCTCCAGGACAGAATTTAAGAAAACAGCAAGCCAGTACTCAGTAGCAGAAAGGTTGAGAAACTCTGGTCCAGTCTATAAAGCCAGCTGTTAAATTTCACCCCATATGGAGACTGAAAACTCAAATTTTCATAGAATCATAGAACACTAGAACTGGAAGGGACCTCGAGAGGTCATCAAGTCCAGTCTCCTGCCCTCAGGGCAGATCAAGCACCATCTAGATCAGTGTTTCTCAACCAGTGGTACCAATACCCTTAGGGGTACTTGAGAGAAGTCTGGGGGGTTCTTCAACACAACTGAAATTTGAAGAAAACTGATTTTTTGTTTTAAGTTTTACTGCGTTTTATTATTTTTGTACTTTTTACCCCCAAAAACTTCATTGACCACCCGGCTACAATTAAGTTGTTTAAACAAATGTGTTGCAATGGTAGAAAAAAATTGTGCATGTCTGAAAACTGTAGGTACTGGGGGTACTTATACTTTTTTTTTTTTAAAAAGGGGGTACTTTATAAAAAAAAAGGTTGAGAAACACTGATCTAGATCATCTCTGACAGGTGTCTATCCAAACTGCTTTAGCTAAGAACTTCCCCCACCCCCAAGGCCTCAAAAGGGATGAATGTGAAGTGCCTTTGAATTCTCTGTCCTCTTCCTTCCTTTTCACACCATGATTCCCCCAGGGCCATTTTTAGGGAGCCAGCTTGACACTCTGAAAGAGCCTTGTTTCAAGGGGTTAAAACTGAGTAAAAAGAGTTTCTAATGACCCTTTCCCCTTTTCCTAAGCACTGATCCGCAGGGAAAACACAGAGCATTCTCGGGGCAGGAGGTGCTAGTGAAAAGACAGGCCAAACCCACAGAGCTCTGGGAAACTGACACAGTGCCAGAGTTCTGACTGGGGCACAGCTAAAAAGCTAGTGACAGAAGAGGCAGGACAAGTTTCCCAGAGTTAGCTGCACAACTAGCTTTTGTTCCAGGGCAGGGATCCAGACATGCTAGGTCAGAACCACTGGGCCATTAATGGCAAAACCACCTTCCCTTTTCCCCTCCCCCACCTCCCTGCATGATATCAGAACTGCCAGATTGTGTGTTTCAGCTTCCTGCCTATCCTACACCGGATCAGAACCACAGGCTCATCCAATACCTACTCAACTGGATCAGAACCAGTGGCCTGAATATTGCAGCATTCCCAGCTCCCCTAGACTGGATAAGAATCATCCGGTCTGTTTATTAGCTGACTCTATCACCCCTGCCCAATCGGATCAGAACCACAGACGAATGCGGCAGCACCTACATCTCCTTCCTAACTTGGATCCTCCAGTCTGTGAATTTCACCACTTTCAGCACTGAATCAGAGCTGCTATCCCACCCCAGTGACCTCAGCCCTCCACAAAACTCTGCCCTGCTGGGTCCATCCAGTTCTGTCTCGGGACCGGATCAGACACTCATGCCCACATGCACCCAGCACACGGGGGAAGCCAGGCCCTGTGGCAGACGTACCACTCCTCGTCCTTGTGCGCCAGGAAGAAATCCTGCATCTGCTGGCGCCGGAAATCCAGCTTGTAGTCGTTGTACCGCTTGACAGCCTCCGTCTCGTCCACCGAGTCATCCAGGGACAGCAGGAACTCCTTGAAACTCTTCATGACTGGTGGTGCCATGCCGACGTCCACTTCTGCAATGTTGCCCAGCCTGCTTGAGAGAGCTGAGATGGTCAGCATGTGGGAAGCCAGTGGGGTTGGCAGGGAAGGCCGAGGAGGGGGTTATTTACCTGGCTTGGATGGGTAGAAGGTGGTGCTGTTGCATGACATGCATTTCGGGGTGCGCCCAAGGCTGCGGAGGTCCGTAAGTGGGGCCAGCGGTTGCCCCGCTGTATGGCATCTCGTACCCACTGTGGTAGGGGTCAGCACTGTGCTCATCCCTGTTGGGGGAGAAGTGAAGGGTCAAAATCACTTTGGGGGAGCTGCAGGACAAATGGCTGGGGTCTGCAAGCTCTGGGGCATAGCCGCTCAGATCACTATAATTTGTTTATCCAGTGATGTTACCAGAAGGGATATGATCACAGCTTTCAAGTACCTGAAACAATGATGGGCAGCCTGTCTCTCTCCGGGGCTCTACATGCAGCCTGCCACACGTTTTATTTCCTGTTGCTCACGCACAGGGTTGTCAGATTCTGCTATTTTCTGTCCACGTGTATTTTTCTACCAGTTTTAGTAAAGTAACACACACGTACAGCAAAGACCCGTGAAGTCAGGTGTGTGCTGATAGCACACAACATTGACCATGAGAGCCGTGCGCTCCCTTTGTATCCAGTCAAAGTGCTACTACAGTTCAATTGGCACAGCCCAGAAATTCTAGGTATGCAGCCACAGTTAGCAAGAGTACTCTATCCCAAGAGACTGTCATGGTAACAACAATCTTGTGGCCCACAGAGATAAAGGAGGGCCACTCACACAGCCCACTTAGCAGCCTAGGCTGCCCACTGGTGACCTAAAAATTTGTTACAAAGAGGAGGAAGAAAAATTATTCTCCTTAACCTCTGATGACAGGACAAGAAGCAAATGGGCTTAAATTGCAGCAAGGGAGGTTTAGGTTGGATATTAGGAAAAACTTCCTGTCGGGGTGGTTAAGCACTGGAATACATTTCCTATGGAGGTTGTGGAATCTCCATCACTGGAGATTTTTAAAAGTAGGTGAAACACTCCCGTCAGGGATGCTCTAGCTGGTCCTGCCATGAGTGCAGGGGACAAGACTTGATGATCTCAGGTGCCATCCAGGTCTAAGATTCTATACATGCATAATCACCATATGTTGAATGCAGTGGAATTGCAGGATCACAGAAGTAGAAAATTGATTAGTAACCAGGAGGGATAATTACGTATTAGGTCTGGAACACAAGGCCTGTAAGATTTTAGGTTAGACATACTAAGCCCTTAGAGTTAAGAAATACTTGACAAATCAGTGACTCTTGACCAGTGCTCTGTATGCAGAGGTCTTCCCGGGGTTCATCGACTTCTCTGGGCATTTTCCTAGTTTTATAGCTGGCTACATACAAAGCACTACCACAACCAGTAAACACTCAAGCTGCACCCAGAAAATGACTTGTCAGTCGATGGTATATGCAGCACTACAAACATGTAAGCAGAGGATTTTTATTCCAATGGATTTATTTCATAGTTATATAGTAAAAATGTAAGTCAGTTATTTCTCTATACCAGCGTGCTGTGACCCTTTTGTATTTTTATGTCTGATTTTGGAAGCACAAAGTTTTTAAGGGAGGTGAAACTTGAGGGTACACAAGGCAAATCAGACTCCCAAAAGGGGTACGGTCATTTGGAAAGGTTGAGAGCCACTGATTTAAGTAACCAAAGAATGACACTATGCCACAAGATGAAGGGAAAAGATGGACCAATGGGTGGTACCGCAAGTAACAGATAGTAAGATTCACTTTCAATTACAAGTTGCCTGGTAGTCACATTTTTCCCCCCAATGGATGTGCATAAACACTAATGAGAATCAAAGGAACTATACACAGCTGTAAACAAGGATATCCCAATAATTCTGGGGGACAATACAAGCAAGGAAAAAAAAGATTGACCCTTTCAAGCTGTAACATTAGGAAGATTTCTGGGAGCACTGCTGAGGGTCAAATGAAGGCAAATTAAATATACTATTTAATCAATGAACTGATTAAATGGGGAGAAGGCACGTCAGCCCTTCACTGAGCTGAAGGATCCTCTGACCCTGCCACAGGCAGCCCCAGCATGGGGGCTGGGAGCCAGCAGAAGCCCTCAGCCCCAGCGCGGGGGACTGCTTGTGGTCCACTATGACTGACTCCTAGATCCCTTTCTGCAATACTTCTTGGACAGTCATTTCCCATTTTGTACGTATGGAACGGATTGTTCCTTCCTAAGTGGAGTACTTTACATTTGTCCTTGTTGAATTTCATCCCATTTTCCTCAGACCATTTCTCCAATTTTGTCCAGCTCATTCTGAATTATAATCCTATCCTCCAAAACACCTGCAATCTCCTCCCAGCTTGGTATCATCTGTGAACTTTATAAGTGTACTCTCTATGCTATTATCTAAATCGTTGATGAAAACCTTGAACAGCACCAGTCTCAAAACGGATCCCTGCAGAATCCCACTTGTTATGTCCTTCCAGCATTACAGTGAACCATTGAAAGCTTATCCTATCCTAGCATGTTACGCACCCACCTTATAGTAGCCCCATCTAGGCTGTATTTTCCTAGTTTATTAATGAGAAGGTCATGCAAGAAGGTATGAAATGACCTGCTAAAGTCTAGTACATAACATCTACTGCTTCCCCCTTATCCACGAGGCTTGTTATCCTATCAAAGAAAGCTATCAGGTTGGTTTGCATGATTTGTTCTTTACCAATCCCTGCTGACTGTTACTTATCACTTTATTATCTTCCAGATGTTTGCAGATAGATTCCTTAATTATTTGCTCCACTATCTTCCCTGGAACAGAAGTTAGGCTGACTGGTCTGTAATTCCCTGGGCTGTCCTCATTTCCCTTTTTATAGATGGATGCTAAATCTGCCCTTTTCCATCTTTTGGAATCTCTCCCATTTTCCATGACATTTCAAAGGAAATAACTAATGGCTCAGATACCTCCTCAATCAGCTACTTGAATATTCTAGGATCCATTTCCTCAGGCCCTGGTGACTTGAAGACATTTAATTCATCTAAGTAATCTTTGTTCTTTTCCTATTTTAATTTCTGAACCTCTCATTTTCACCAGCATTCTCTATGCTGGGCTTCAAATCACCACCAATCTTCTTAGTGAAAACTGAAACAAAGAAGTCAGGATGCACCTCTACCATTTCTACATTTTCTATTATTGTTTTTCCCTCTTCATTGAGCAATGGACCTACACTGTCCTTGATCTTTATCTTGCATCTAATATATCTGTAGAATGTTTTCTTAACCTTTATATCTCTAGCTAATCTGAGCTTGTTTTGTGCCTTGTTCTAATTTTGCCCCTACATACTTGTTTTATTTGTTGGTATTCATCCTTTGTAACTTGACCTAGTTTCCACTTTTTGTAGATTCCTTTTTAATTTTAGATCATTCAAGATCTCCTGGCTAAGCCTTGCAGAAGAGCTGCTAGGGATACCCTTGGATGGAGTGATCATAAACTTCAGTTACACAGAAGTGTAATAAAAAACGAGGTCACAGGCTCAGGATTTTTTATTTCAAAAGCGCAAAAATTGGGGGACAAAGAGAATGAGTTGAAGAAACTGGCTGGATCAAAAAGCACAAGGTCTTAAAGGAGATTAGACTCAGAATGCAAAAGGTATCTGAAATAAGGGGGAAAAAACCTGCCTTCCAGTTCAAGGAAGATAAATTGCAAGTGACACAGCTAGGATGATAGGACTGCATGAATTTGATTTGTTTAGTCTCACAAATTGAGAGGGGAGACTGTTCACTCTCTCTAAATACATGAAGGTGGGCAAAGAGCTATTGGAGCAAAAGGCTAACATTGGCTCAAAGGATGAACCAGGAACAAATTCAAGGGGAAATTAGAAGGTTTCTAATCATCAGAGGGACTGATCTGCCTCCTGATATGAATTGTGGGGGCAAACAACTAAGCCAGTTTTAAGAGAACGCACAGACTTATGACAGGGCTGCTTGTGTTAGCTGGGGACAGGATTTGGTGGCACTGGGGTCCCTTTATGTGCTTAATGCTTCAGGGCTGTGATCAGCTGAAATCTGAGATCAGGAAGGGTGTTTTATTTTTATAAAACCTCTATATATTCTGGGAGGTTGTTTTTTAATTTCCTTCCTCTGAGGTACCAGGGATGGTCATGGGTGGAGCTGGGATTCAGGCAGGGGGTGGGGGGAGAGGAGGAGGGAGAAGGGCCAGGATTCCTTCTCGCAGGTCCTTGGCTGTGTGGTTTTTGCTCACATGCTCAGGGTCTAACAGGTCTATGAGAGAGTTTCATCTCTCTCAGCATTGTTCAGAGCAGATCATTTGCCAGGAATATCTGGGTATCGCCCGGTGATGTTATTTGATTAAAGCATGACCATAACAACCATTGTTTCTACCACTGTTATATAATTACAAAATCTTATACGGAGCATGACACATGGCCACAAAGAGCTAAGCATTCTGTAGGCTAACTGACCCAGAGTCAACCTATACAGATAGCTAGGTTAGAAAAATATGTAAAGGGTAATTAAGGCCACTCAATGCACATCAGACTAGAACTTTGAAATGCAAACCCGTATTAGGGATGTTAAAATGCATTTACTTTTGTAAATGCGTAACCACTGAAATTTTCAGTCATTCCATGTTTACATAGTGGGTAAGGGGGAAAAAAGGGAGGCAGACAAGCACCAACTCCCATCTTCTCCCCACTCCCATTGCTGTCTCTGTGGGAAGCAGAAGTGCAGGGAGGAGGGGGGCTGCAACAGGCAGATGGGAAAAGCTGGTTCCATGCATATACTGGCTCCAGCCTGCCTGCTCCCTGCACTGCTATCTCTATATCCAGGGGTGGGCAATAATTTTTGGGAGAGAGCCACTTCAAAAATTTTTGATGTGGTCCCAGGCTGCCCCGGAAGGGGCAGGACCTGGCTGCTTCTGAGCTACCCCACCCACAGACTCCCCCCCCCCCCCCCCACTAGGCACCCATGCCCCTGGAAGGGTGGGAAGAGGCTTCGCACACTCCCACATCCCCAGGCCAATCAGGGCCTGGGGAGTGCACGAAGCCTCCTCCTGCCCTGTGAGGAGCATGTGACACTTTGAAGTGCCACGTGCTTCTTGCGGGGCAGGGGCAGGGCAAAGGAAGCTTCGCACAGCTCTCCTGCACCCAAGCTCTGATTGGTCTGGGGATGCGGGGAGTGTGCAGCACTTCAAAGTGCTACGCATTCCTCATAGGGCAGGAGGAGGCTTCGCATGCTCCTCCTGCCCCCCAGCCAATCAAGGCCTGGGGGTGGGGGAGCTGCGTGAAGCTTCCTTCGCCCTGCCCCTGCCCTGCACAAGCGTACGGCACTTTGAAGTGCTGCGTGCTCCACACAGGGCAGGGGGGTGGGGGGAGGAAACTTTGCGTGCTCCTCCCATCCCCAGGCCAATCCGGGCCTAGGGGTGGAAGAACGCTTGACATCCCCTCCCACCCTGTGAGAAGCGCATGGTACTTCAAAGCGCTGTGTGGTCCTGCCAGGGCGGGAGGAAGCTTTGCATATTCCCCCGCCCCCAGGTCCTAATTGGCCTGGGGGCAGGGGAGCAGCAGGGCCTCTGCGGGTCGAATCAACCTGCTTGGCAAGCTGGATCAGGCCCACAAAGGCCCTTTTGCCCACCCCTGCTCTATATCAGTGACACATCAAAGAGGGGGGAGAGGCAGCTCCATGGGAGCTGGCTGTGCTGCTGTCTCTGTACACTGGTACACGTTCACATTCCTAACCTGTATGGCCAGAAATTAACGTTAATAGTAGTTGTATGTGTTTACTTATATTTTGTTAGCTATTAGCCATGTAAACAGTTTCTGTTTATTACTATAATTATTGGGTCAAAGATAATATTAACATTTAGATGAATCTCTGGTGAAATAATGCGACTGTCCGTGTGTCACTTTAAAGTGACTTAATGGATACATTACCTTATGTTACTTCATGTAGTTGTTGGCCATGTTTGGGAAATGGGTTATGTCAAAGTTCACCCAGGACTTGCAGGGCCAGAAGACTATTAGAAATCTATATAAATAGAGCTCTGTGTTGATACAAAATGTATACCTGTATCTGCAAAAATGAACTACAGATATGCAGGGCTCTCTGTATAAACATCCTTGGGGCATGATCAATCTTACCACTAATCTTTTCCATCCACATGCACCAAGGGATGTGTGAATGTGCACCACCAGTAGAAACAAAAAACCTAGCTGTGGGCACTGGGCTATTCAGCTGGACAGCATCTGAATCTTCCTTGAGTGGTTGCACAAGTTCAGGAGGCAATCCTTTTAACACTCAGCATTCCCTGTAAGCTGACTGCTTCAGCAGCAGCTCGGCAGTAATTCCAAATGCTGCCCACCTGCTTAGTAGAGCGTCCACAGCTAGGTTTTGTGTTTCAGTTGGTGCTGCACATTCACACATGCCTCGGTGCACATAAAAATATATTCTGCATGTGGGCTGAAATAATCCATGTATGGATGGAAAAGATTAGAGGGAACATTGTTCTCAGATCTGCTTGATGCTTTATCAGGGAAGCTAAGTTCTAAGATTGAGATCTTTAGTCCCATTTGGATCCCACCCAGAAATATGAATATTGGACTATAACCTACAGACTAATTCTGTAAGACCTGCCATCGCTAGTATGAAACTGATCTCAGAACTGTACTTCTGTATGTATACTGATCTTTTAACCAGGGTGGCACACTATGGGGACCCAGCAAGGGGCACTCACTCACCAGTCACGGCGCATGCGTTTCTGCGGAGGACTCAACTCATGCCGGGGGGGGGAGAAACGCTCCCGGCGGTTGCGGTCGTAGTCCCGGTACTCGCCTCTGCTCCGGCGCTCCCGGCCACGGTCCCACTCCCTACAAGGGCAAACTGATCACCACACTGATATATTCTTCCACCAGGGAACTTCTACACTCCCCTCCACTACTATCCCCAAAAAGCAAATCATGCCACCACTAGGGATGTGAGTGGGTAACTGGCTAATCAAGCAGCATCTCCCTACCAGGTGAAGCATTGCTCCAACCCCAACACTGGGGCCAGGAGCAGAAACCCGGTGGGCTGGAATGGTGAGATCCCTCTAGTCGGTTAACTATTAGGTTAAACCAGTGTTTCCTGAATTTATTTAGCCACGGAACCCTTTTCAACTTAAAATAATTCCAAGGAACCTCTAGGGTTCCCAGAGTAAAATTTGGCAAGCAAAAAAAAAGAGCCTTGCCAGAATTGGTTGAGCAAAAAAACCCTGCAAAATACTCTGTCTCTTTAAGGGGGGGGGGGGGGGGGGGAGAGCACGGCTCTATACTCCCACAAGGGGTGAGGACAGAGGGCAACTTGCCCACAGCACTGCCAGGAGCGCAGCGAACCCCTTTGACAAGGATCTCACACGCCTAGTCCCCACATGTATCTGCTAGGGCAAGATAATCAAAGATATAGAGCTCTACAGCACACCCTCCCCCAGAAAAATCACCCACACACAAGTCTCCCATGCCTTTCAGGGCAAGGCACCAACACAGCAGGATCCCTTTTCCAGGAAGCCATGATGTGACACAAACCACCTGGACTCTCCAAATTCCAACCTGTCATTCCAATCATCCCGGCGCCGGTCATCACGTTCCCGGGAGCGATCGTAGTCACTTCTCTCCCGACGGAACTTATCCCTACGCCGGCGGTCGTACTCATCATCACTATCACCCATTGCCTAGGACACCAAGAGAGCTGCACAAGCGAAAAGGTGTGGCTGGTTATGCAGAGACCCCTTTGGGGTACGTCAGCAGGTTACTATGATGAAGTGGGGGATTTGTGGGCTGCACACAGAAGGGGTTCTTCGGTGTTACTGGTTTAACAAGATATTTTGTTATAAGGGACTAGCACAGAACTAGGGACCCCAGTGACTGGTGACCAGGAGACTCAACTGGGATGGCACATCTGGGTCTGGCCAGGGGGAGGCCAATGGGCTGCGGAGAGAGGACCAATGACCTAGGGCAGAGGAGAGGGGAGGCAAAGAAGAGAGGAACCCAGGAGTTCCTGGCTGCCTGGGCAGAAGACAGAGGCCGGGGAGGGGCTGCTGGGGAGGGATATGAGGGCTGGGCTGGGAGGAGGGGGCTGCTGGCCTGGGCAGGGGGAGCAGGCAGAGCCCACCTGGCTGCAGGGGAGACTCAGACGTGCTGGGCTGAGGGGGGCCAGGCCTGCAGGCCTGAGAGTTCCTGTGCTGGGTTCAGTGCTCAATGAACCCTCCTGTGTGCAGCTGGCGGAGAGTCGCTCCGGTCTGAGAACAGGGCTGCACTGGCCCCCCTGCGAGTGGAGGCCCCGGGGGCCCAGAGCGAGTGGACTCCCTGAGGGGCCCAGGGCAGAGCCAGGCGCGCTGGGAGCTCAGAGAGGGGCGGTCCCAGGAGCCAGGGGGTGTAAACCCCGAGAAGGGGCATCGCCAGGAGCCAGGGGGTGTAACCCCCGAGAAGGGGCTTCGTGCTGCAGGGAGCTCCCCCAGGACAGTGACCCCTCACCCGCTCTCGGCCCCGCGCTGCCGCCTCCAGTCCCCGGTGCCCGCGCGGCGCTCGCCGGATTCCCGGATGGAGCCGGAAAGCGAAGAAACAGACCACGCTAGGGTCGCGTGTCTATAGTTCCGGCGAGTCGCTCTGGGAGTTGGCAGACTCTGACTCTATGGTACTCAAGTGACATAGGCCGAAGCGGGCGCGCTTCTACAGTGGGAGGTGAGAAGGACGCTCTAGGACGCCGTGACTCTATGGTGGACGTGAACGGAGGAGAGACGCTCTACGGGTTAGCTGTGTACAGCTCTATGGTGCGAGTTAGGAAAAACGCTCTAAGGAGAAAGCCTCTCTATGGTCTGCGCGAAGGACAAGCCTGCTCATGAGACCTCTATGGTGCGGGCGGGCCGCTCTAAGGCAAGAGGACTCTATGGTTCGGGCGGCTCTCTACGAGGAGTGCGCCGAAACGCTAAAGCGGGTGGACTCTATGGTTCAATATGAGCGACACTCTAGGAAACAGCCGTTCCAAACTATGATAAGCGGCGGAAGAGACTCTCTAGGACGGAGGACTCTATGGTGTTAATGACTCTCTAGATGGGACACCGCCTACTCCACTTTCCGGAGCTGCAGATGGGGACGCTCTATTGTGGGGAAAGCCCCTGCCCGCGCTCTCTGCCCTGCTCTGGGGCTCAGTGGCCGGGAGGGGGGTCACTTTCATGCGGCTCCAGCCAGTTCTCAAATTTGGGAGTCTACAGGGGAGCACTGTGTTGCGGAGAGGGGCTGGGGGGAGGGGTCCACGGAGGGAGGATACAAACCACGCTCGCGGCTGGTTTATTACAAATCCCAACATTTAATGTATTTCCCATCAACACTTAGACGTGGCAAATTCCATAGAGGGCAGCATTACCCATTCAAAGGAGAAAATCTACACACACCCGAGCCGTGCCCTCCCCCATCATACCCCTGGCTGCCTTCACACAGCCTCCAGGGGGCACCCCCATCCGGAGCTGGAAACACACAAGGGCCAAACAGGAAGGGAGGCAAGCAGATGGGTGGGGGGCACTAACGTATATCAGAGAGTCACTGGAGGTCCAGGATGTATCCCAGAATTCCCTGAGAAGAGGATCAGGAGGGAGAGCGGTGTTTCCCATCATCCTCCAAGGCGGATGCTCTGGATTATCTGGAAGATAGCTGGGGGGGGAAGGGACAAGGGGGCAGACTGAGGCTGGAGTTTGGGGGGGAGCTCCCAGTTTCCCACCCTTCATACTTGGAAGCAATCAGGGACACATCTTGGGGTTATGGGAGGGGCTTATTGTATGGCTCCTCCCCTCCTAAGGCCAGTGGGACCTGGATTATCTGGACAGAGGGGCTGGAGCCTAATTTAGCATTAGCTTCTCATCCCCCATTAGTAGGTTTCAGAGTGAACACACACGGACTCAGCTCTGTCAGCAATGCTGCTAGGACACTAAACTCCCAGGGGAAGTTTGCACATCCCCGACAGCAGTAGGGACCATAGTAAGCAGACCCAATCCTCTAACTGACACCAACACATTTGGATGAACCCTTCCCATATCCAACTGACCATGTTAATAGTCTTCAGAGTTAACAACCTACATGAGACAGCAACTATAGTGAAGGGGTGGAGCAAATACTCTGCATGACAGCATTTTGTCTCCAATTGCAATTAAACTGCAAATTAAATGCCTATCCAGGGCACTTTCTCAGGGCTAAGTGCAATCATTAGATTTCTGAGTGAGCCAGTTTAGGGGGACAATTCTGCTAATAGTGTCAAAATAACAATTCAGGTTAAATAAAGAGAATGGGCCAACTCATGTCTGTTGGTCACCCCACTCCATTTCAGGGAGTGGACCCACTGATGCCCACCGCTCCCCTCCAGTGTGCCCTCTAATTTTTCCATCCATCTGTGGAGTAAATTTTGTTACATGCACCAATATATGTGCATATGTGCACCACCAGTAGACACTTATGCTGCCAGCTGTTGCTGCTCTGCTAATCAGCAGGGAGGCATTTGAATCTCTCCTGGGTGACTTTCCAAGTGCTCAGCTTAGGGGCAACACTGCTCCCTTCATTAAGTTTCAGAATAAACATGCACGCCTAGGCTGTTTCTACACTGGGCCACTTATTCCAGAAAATGAGCCGCTTTTCCGGAATAAGCTGCGAGCTGTCTACACTGGCCCTTGAATTTCCGGAAAAGCAACGATGCTCTACTGTACAAAATCAGCCACTATTCCGGAAAAACTATTCTGCTCCCGCTCGGGCATAAGTCCTTATTCCGGAACACTGTTCCGGAAAAGGGCCAGTGTAGACAGCCCAGTAGTCTTTTCCGGAAAAAAGCCCCAATTGCGAAAATGGCGATAGGGGCTCTTTTCCGGAAAAGCGTGTCTACATTGGCCACAGACGCTTTTCCGGAAAAAGGGCTTTTCCGGAAAAGCAGCCTGCCAATGTAGACGCTCCTTTTCCGGAAAAACTGAAAACGGAATAGTATTCCGTTTTAAGCAGTTCCGGAAATTCATGCCAGTGTAGACACAGCCCTCCCTAGAGTATATGCTTGTTTCTAGCTTCCAACATTAAATTTCAGGGCTAAAAACCACAGAGACCTGAAATTAATCAACCTCCATTATTAGGATCAACAGTAAACAACACAACTGAAACCCTCCCTTTGGAGTTAGGTTCTTGTGTAGCTGTATCACATGAATGGGGCTCCTGCTGCTAGTCTCCAACGTTATACCAAAGGTAAATACCGGCTAATGGATCACGATACCATAGTTAGGAAGCCATAGTAGGAAGCAGCATAAAAATAACCTACATTAGGTTTCAGCATTAATGCTATAAATCCCTGTCAACCTAACGTGTAAAAAAAAAAAGAGCCCTAGTACAGCCCATCTCTGCCCTACCACAAATCCTTAGGCTTAAGGGTCAACAGTTGATCACACCCAACTGACCTGAGCCACAGACCACGAACACAAACAGGGCCAGCAACCACGGCCCTACGGCAGCTTTCTCTTCCAAGGCAGCTTTCTGTGTGGGACACAAGGAAACTCCGGTCATCTGAAGAAGTGGGCTGTGCCCACGAAAGCTCAAGATACCATCTACATCTTTTGTTAGTCTATAAAGTGCTACCAGACCATTTGTTGTTTTTGAAGTTTACAAGGTGTCAGAGACAGGACACACACCCCAACTCCCAACCCGCAGCCCGTGCCAGCCCTGCCCCCCAGCCCTACCAGTGCCCCTCGCTCCCCATGCACAGCCCCTGCCAGCCCAGCCCACCCAGTGCCCCTCACTCCCGACCCACAGCCCCTCGTACCGGGGCCCGATGGGGGCCCCCTCTCTGCGTAACGCTCTGTCGGTGTCTCTCGTTCGCCACTCTCATGCGTTGCACCCCAGACATGATCCCAGTCGCCCCGCTAGGCTGTCCAAACTGTCAATATCTGCGCACGCGCAGGATCTTAAAAAAAAAGTCGCGGAGAGCTTCAGGGCGCATGCGCGCAGAAACCGCAGGCAGACGCGAAAGGCTGCTAGTGAATGTGTGCGGTGTGGGCAGCTTAGGACAGACTACTGCGCATGCGCAGTGTTTTGGTCACTCTGCTAGTAGCCCGGGCTCAGGAGCCAATGTCCCGGAAGCGAGACGCTGCGCAAGCGCACCGATGATAGGCAAGGGCCAATGATCACGTGATTCCCGAGCGCCAGTTATGTCCTGACACGCATGCGCCGTAAATTGAACGGAAGGGATCGTTTCCCCGTCCTTCCGTGTCACGGGACAGACGCCAGAGATGGCCATCTTTGTTCGCCTGCCCCGCTCATGTGAGCCAGGCGCGTACGAACCTGGGAGCGGCCATTTTGCCTTCCATGTGACATGTGATAAGAAACTCAGGGGGGAAACAATAGCCCAGTTCCCAAGTAAAGAACAGCAGAGAGCCCAGGGCTCTGGGCTCCTACTCCCCTCCCCAGCCCGGGAGAGAACTCAGGAATCCTGGCTCCTCTTTCCCCCCTCCCAGGAGGGAACAGGACGTCAGTTTGTATCTAGCCTTCACCCGTGCTCTGCGTGCCCTTGGCCACCTCAGAACTATCCTGGTGTGTGCCCCCCACCCAACACCCTCCTGTCCCTTTCTCCATCCTTGTGCTGTCCATCCCCAGGTACCTTGACCCAGAGAAAATTAAGTTGGGGCCTGTAAACCAAGTGAGAAGCAAAAAACAAAAAAACCCACACTGACGTGGCCCCAGAGTAAGGAGAAAGACACTCCCCACATTTCCCTCCCACATCAGAGCGGAGGGGGGGGGGCGCTCAGGCTAGTAGATTTTTGCCCATAGTGGGGCAGCAGGAGGGCTGGAGCACCAGCACAGATTCCCCAATGGTGGGGAGGCCCTGAGCTTTGGGGGCCAGATACAGGCAAGCCAGGGTCGTATTCAGTCCCTGGCCCTGAGGTTCCCCACCCCTGAAATGAATCCTATTTGAGTTATAAGAACCTGAGCAACGCTAAGTGAATCTTCTAGTCTTTACTATATACTTGAGAGAGTTTGTGCGTTTGTCTGTTTGTTCAAGAACTGCTCCTAAACGATAAGAACAAGGACCACCACATTTGGCATGCAGCTTCTTCTTATTCTAACTTAAAGCAAGGTCATGGCTTGGTCGTGACAGGACAATGGGATGTATGTGGAGTGCAATTGTTTCTCATTCAATGGACAGGCAGTGCTGTGATAGCAAGGACACTTATACCCACTGTGATAGAGAGAGAGAGAGAGAGAGAGAGAGAAGGAGCGTGGAGAGGAGGAAAACAACCCAGTGTTAAGGAGTCTCAGCTTGGAGGAGCAGGAGGCTAAAGGCTACAGGGGGAGGTGAGGAGTTGAGCAGAAGGTGTTGGAGGGCTCCCTTACCCCCCACCCTTTGGAACAAGAAGAGGGCTTTCTGGTCAGCTGTGACTGGCCCAGGGCTTCAGCCCAATACAACATCCTTTATGCTAAGGGCCAGGAAGGCCCAAGGACAAAAAACCTCTGCAGGTGAGGACCCTGCTGCAGCCCTCAAAGTGTGGGACGGTGGACAGAACAGTGGTCAGAGTCTCAGGAAGGAGACTGACCCTGCCACACGTGGTGTCAGGGGTGGGATGTTCTCGCTGCTGTGAGACCCCGCAGCGAACCCACTCAGGTCAGGCTAGGCTGACCAATAAAGAAGATGGAGGACGTGGTGAAGGCACTTGTACAAGCCACTGCCGCTCAGCAGGAGGCTACCAGGGTACAGGCAGTGGCCCAGCAGGAGGCAGTTTGGGTGCAGTAGGAGATCAATCACCTGCTAATGAACCAGGCTGCCCAGGACATTATATTGCAAGAAAGAGTGACTATTTACACTATTGTAATTTGTATTCCATTACCCAGTGGAAGACCCAAACAAGGTCAGCACTCCGTAAGTGATCCATAGTCACATAGCAAGACAATTGCTATTCCAACAATTTTACACTCTAAATAGACAAGACAAAGTATGAGAGAACTGCCCTGCAAGAAGGCTGGCCCCAAGACCAGTGGGCATCCTGGCTCCATTCCTGAGTGGGGAGGCCCAAAAAGCCTACTTTGATATGCCTGAGGAGATGGCGGCTGAATACCATCACCTGAAGACAGAGATCTTGGCCCGGACTGGAGTAACAACCGCAGTCAGAGCCCAGTGGTTCCGTCATTGGAGATACCAAGAGGGTAAAGCACCGAGGTCCCAGCTATTTGACCTCATCCACGTGACCCGAAAGTGGTTGCAGCCCGAGACCCACAGCCCAGGAAAGATCGTGGAAATCATCGTTCTGGATCGATACATGCGGGGACTACCACCTGACTTGTGGACGTGGGTCAGCCAGAATGACCCTTCCTCCTACGATGAGATTGTGGCGCTGGTGGAGAGGCAGCAAACAGCCAAGGATATATTGCCACCCCATGGAGAAGAAGTCAGGCACAGTAAGAGGCCAGGCCCTGGCCCTGCTCCTGCCCCGAGAGGTAGTTTCCCAGAGTCCTCAGACCGGGCCCAGTCTGGAAGGAAAGAGACAGATGCGCGGCAGGAGGCCGTGAAAGGACTTGGGGACCGGGGGAAGGAAGGGCAAGGGATGAGGCCCAGTAGCCCCAGGAATAGGGGGATACCCTGCATAGGATATCGGTGCTATGCATGTGGGGAGGTGGGGCACATAGTGGCACAATGCCCAAATATTGAGGAACCAATGCAGTGTGACCTAGGGGATTTGGAGGGCCCCTGCAACTTGATAACCCTGGTAGGGGTAGCGATGGCCCCTCATCAGTACACCCAGCAGGTAAAGGTGAATGGCATAAAGACCACAGCCTTGTGGACTCAGGGAGTGCTGTGACCTTGGTTTCGGGATATCTGATAGGACAAGACCAGTTGTGCCAGGCCAAGCGCACAAGAATATTCTGTGTTCGTGGGGATGTTAGCTATTACCTGGTCACCCCTGTGATGTTAGGGTATGTCTACATTGCCACCCTAGTTCGAACTGGGGTGGCAATGTAGTCATCCTGCAGTGAGGAGTAATGGTAGTTTGAATTGGTCATCTTGCAGTGAGGAGTAATGGTAGTTTGAATTAGGAGCTTTAATTTGAACTACCTAGCCCGTGTCATGTGTAGTCACAGGCAGGGAGTCCGAACTACCGGGCATTTAAAAATGGCGGCACCCAGGAACATGCAAATAAAGCCCGGAATATTTTAATCCCGGGCTTCATTTGCAAGTTTGAATGACTACATTAGCCACCTTAGTTTGAACTAGGGTGGCTAGTGTAGACATACCCTTAGAGATTCAGGGGAACAGCACCAGGGTGGCAGCCGGGGTGGTCCCAAAGCTCCCCTACCCACTCGTGATTGGGCAGGACTTCCCTGGGTTTAGCAATCTACTCCCTAGGGAGGGGGGAGAAGTAGAAAGCCCACTCTCAGCCTTCCATGAGTTTTCACAGGACCTGTTTTCTGAGCCTGGGAAACCACTGAAAACGAGGCGGGAAAGGAGCCTGGACACACAAATCTTGGCCCCAAAACTAAGACCAGTTCTAGCTGGACCGGAGGCAGAGCCAACTAGTGGGGGGAAGAGGCAACTGAGCCTGAAGCTGGGCCCAGCTCAGCAGGGCCCCCAGGGATGGAAGAGGCTGAGGGCCCTTCAGAGCTTGGGCAGATAGGGGCTTCACTTGTGAATTTTGTGCAAGACCAGGCCAATGATCCCACGCACCAGAATGTGTGCAAAGAAGTAGTGGAAGTAAATGGCATCCCTGTAGTAGGAAGAAGCAAGGGCCCAGGGCCATATTATATTCTCCAAAAGGACCGAATTTTTCCAGGCCAGGTTTGGGCAGCTAGGGGCTTCACTTGTGAATTTTGGGCAAGACCAGGCCAATGATCCCATGTATCAGAATGTGCGCAAAGAATTAGTGGAAGTAAATGGCGTCCCTGTAGTAGGAAGAAGCAAGGGCCAAGGGCCATATTATATTCTCCAAAAGGACCTGCTCTTCCAAATTGTTCCAGGCCAGGAACCAGTAGTGGAACAGCTGTTGGTGCCTCAGAACCACCGGAAAGCTGTGCTGGACCTGGATACCTAGGAGTTGATAAAACTCTGGTTCAGATCCTAAGAAGGTTCTATTGGCCTGGGGTGTACATGGAGGCCAGGAAATACTGAGCATCCTGTCCAGAGTGCCAACTGCATGGACCCCGGCCACACCAGAGAGCACCTCTGGTGCCCCTGCCTATTATCGAGGTCCCCTTTGAGCATATCGCGATGGACCTGGTTGGCCCACTAAAGAAATCAGCTCGGGGCACCAGAGTATCTTAGTGGTAGTAGATTATGCCACCCGTTACCCAGAGGCAGTACCACTTCGGAATACCCATTCTAAGACCACAGCAAAGGAGTTGGTTCAGATCTTTTCGAGAGTAGGGATACCCAAGGAGATCTTAACAGATCAGGGTACTCCGTTCGTTTCTAAGTTAATGAAGGACCGGTGTGCATTATTCCATATCCAAACCCTGAGGACGTCAGTGTACCACTTGCAGACGGATGGTCTCATTGAGCACTTTAACCGTATCCTCAAGGACATGATCTGGAAGGTGGTGAGCTGAGATGGGAAAGACTGGGATGCCCTACTTCCGTACCTTATGTTTGCCATCTGCGAGGTCCCGCAGACATCCACGGGATTTTCTCCCTTCGAACTATTGTACGGACACAACCCCTGAGGCATCCTCGACCGCGCCAAAGAGGCTTGGGAGGAACAGCCAAACCAGGGGTGCAGCATTATTGAGCATGTCCTCCAAATGAAGAACAGGATCGCCCAGGTTACCCCTATAGTGAGGGAGCACCTGGAGAAGGCCCAAGAGACCCAACAGAGCTACTATAACCGCTGGGCGAGAGTTCGGAAGTTCCAGGTGGGAGATCGGGTAATGGTACTAGTCCCGACAGCAGAGAGCAAGCTCATCGCCAGGTGGCAGGGACCCTAGGAGAGGGAGGGAGGTCCTAGGAGAAGTAAACTATAAGGTACGCCAACCAGGCTGCTGGAAAGTTGAACAAATCTATCACGTCAACCTGTTGAAGCCCTGGCAGGACCGGGAAGTACAGC